CTCTTGAGACCAGGAGTTCAAGACCACCCTGAGCAAAATAGTGAGACCTAGTCTCTACAAAAAATTTAAAAATTAGCTGGGCGTGGTGGCGTGGGCCTGTTGTCCTAGCTACTGGAAAGGATAGCTTGAGCCCAGGAGTTCAAGGTTACTGTGAGCTATGATCATGCCATGGCACACTAGCCTGGGCATGCACAAAGCAAGACCCTGTCTTAAAAAAAAAAAAAAAAAAAAAAAAAGCCAAGTACGGTGGCTCATGCCTGTAATCCCAGCACTTTGAGAGGCCAAGGCAGGTGGATCACTTGAGGCCAGGAATTCGAGACCAGCCTGACCAATATGGTGAAACCCTGTCTCTACTAAAAATACAAAAAAATTAGCCAGGCATGGTGGTGCGTACCTATAGTCCCAGCTACTCAGGAGGCTGAGACAGGAGACTCTCCTGAACCCAGGAGGTAGATGTTGCAGTGAGCCGAGATTGTGCCACTGTACTCCCCCATAGGCATCGCTGCAAGACTCTGTCTAAAAAAAAGGACAAAGAAAAGAAAAAAAAGTCCAATACAGAAATAAAATTCCTTAAGTATGTCTCATCTTTCAAGCCAGAGGCATATACTACTGACAAATTCCTTTCAGAGGACATGATATAATAAAACAATCTGTAGCTTAGAATCTCAAAGTCCTAGGTTCAAATCTCAACTCAGCACTTAAGTACCTTAGATCAGTCACTTAATTTCTCTTACATAAGGCTTCTTTCTCATCTGTTTAAAAAAGAGGGGAGAGGTGGTGATAGAGTGTAAAGCTCAAGTAGAATCACGAATGTGGGAGTTCCCCATAAACAGTAAACATAAACATAAGACATCAAGCACTTCCTCACTTTTCAGAACAAAATAAAGTGATAGGTATCTTTCCTACCCCTTGTGGATGTCTTTACCTCTAAAGGGATATTGGGGACCTTCCAGAGGTTGTAAAGGTTGGGCTTCCCTTATTGAATTAATAACTAAAGAGCACACTGCCTTCAGACTATTTTGGGGAGTTCTAGTCCATTTGCCAACAGATTTACTCAAATTTTGTGAACACTAGTTCTTTCAGATCTGATTTCAAGGATCTATTCCCTCCCACCTTCAGATTCTTTTCCTGTACCACGGTATCTTTACAAGTTTCTTTTAAGGACTCAGGGTTTTGTTGTTTTTGACTTTTTTTAAGTGCTTTTCTTCCCTTTCTGTGGAAACCCAAGCAAAAGGAAATTAGATAAAAGTAATGCATAAAATGTGTATTACTTTTTAAATAGGAAAAAATAAATATAATATTACAAAACTAAAATAACATCTTCAGATTGGTAACATGAACATTTTTTCATGTTCTGTTCAAAGGGATTAAGAAAAAATAAGCAAAAAATGTTCTGAATTATTTAAACATTTGCCATAGCTGGGCACAGTGATCACAGGGTGACTCGGGAGGCCAAGGTGGGAGGACAGCTTGAAGCAAGCAGCTTGAGGCCAGCCTGGACAACACAGCAAAACTGTACCACTAAAAAATATTTTTTTAATTAACATTTCAAAATTAGCCAGGCAAGGTGGTAAACACCTGCAGTCCCAACTACTTGGGAGACTGTGGCAGGAGGATCACTTGAGCCCAGGAGTTCAAGGCTGCAGTCAACTATGATCATGCCACTGCATTCCAGCCTGGGGGGTGACAAGAGCAGTACCCCATCTCTCAAAAAAAAAAAAAAACTGCCTCATGACAGCAGCAGTATAAACAAGATAACCTTCTGAAGCAGCTTCCATTTTTAAGACGTCAAACTAATACACACGTACTCAAACCTTTACTGCTTTTCTATTCAAGGAGTTTAATTACAAATATTCTTGTTTTAAAAATTGTTGGTGTTTGCTGTTCCTGCTATTAGAGGGTGAGGAAAGTATTTTCTTGGCTTTCGTTTTCTACTTTTGGTACTTTGGGTACAGTCAGTATAGGGAAAGACAGGTGTTTCACAAAAATAGCTGGATTTTTCTCACCTAATACACTTTAGAGCAGGAAACTTCTTGGAAAGGTAGAATAAAGAATGGAAGGATGCAGGACTTTCCAAGCATTCATGGCAACAGAAAAGAAAGCAGAGATTCTCTAAGAGGGAAAGAGACATGAGAAGTCAAAACATGAGTGAACGAGTTCAGTAAAGAACAGTCCCTTACAATACCAGAGAAAGAGAGCAAGACAGTCAAGTATATCACAAAATACTGCCCACTACCAAGAAGAAAATTAAGGGAAATATACAATCGCTGAAGGACAAAAAAAAATTAACAACGTTTGGGATCCAGTTTCTTCATCTGTGTGATAATGATAACATTAAGACTACTCTGGGAATTGACATGAGGTTACCTAAGTGAGAGTCCCTGGCACACTGACAGGCTTATCATCGACCCTCAGAAAAGGATAATGTCCTCCCCACTGCCTAAAGTCACTCACAGAATATTACAATGGAAAGGGGAGCTCAGTCATCACCTCATCCTAAATGAATAAACCAAATAATTCAGTCATGTTATAACTGGTACAGAATTCCTATATTATAAAAAATTGAATAAGACACTACAGGATCTCAAACACAAATGAATAGCTGCAATGGAAAAAAACCTTTTGTACTGCTGCAACAGGGGACTCCTTCCCTCACTAAAATCAGGGCAAAAGGAGGCCTTCCACAAATTTCTCCAAATCGGTAGGAAGTGAAGTGTAAGGGGTTTCCCTCCTTGCTGTACAATTGATTATAGGTTGACAAACAGAGACAGAAATCTGTACTCCCAGTTAGTCATAAAAATCAAAGCTGAAACTCAAAACATTTTCTCACAGGAACAATGATAATGGTTACATTTTCAAGCTAGCCCTCATAGCAATTAAATGATGCAGCAAAATGCCATTTTAATTAACTACTTTTCTCATAAGCATAATGTATAAGCTACCTTATAAAGTGGATTTTATGAAAAGGCCTAGAAGTGTAGCCCTAACATCCTTATGAAAAAAAAAATGTGTCCTCAGTTTTAAACAATTTACAGAAAAACTTTTAGATCATAACTAAGGAAGGGACAGTAGAAGAAGACTGTGAGATAAGTAGGGGAGAGAGTCGCTTGGTTTAGTAGAAAGGGCATGTAAATGATACTAAACCAGAGCTGCTATGAAAATGCCTTCTGTGCAACTGTCTCTCTCATTTAGCAAGCATTTAAGCCCTTCCCTGAGCCCAATGCTGTGGCCCTCCAAAGGGAATAACAATTTTTTTAAAGCTAAACACACGGTCCTAGGAATGCAAGAATTGCATTGCATCTTCCCGAGTAAATCACACACCAAATCTAACGGCTTTGAGATTCACATATACCTATCTTGATTACCTTGCATTGGCTCTGTCTCAGAACGAACACACTTAGTGTTATTAGTCTAAATACTAAGGGGAAAAAAGAAACTAACGCTTATTAAGCATTCAGTATGTTCTCATTTCACTTTCACAACCCTGTACGATAGGTAAACATTATCCCCAATTTATACATTAAGAAAATGATGTTAAATTACTTGCCTACAACACCAGTAAAGAGAAGCTAGGACTCTGGATTCCACTTTGTCCACTACTCAAGGGCTCCTCCCCCGCTAAAAAATCAACCATAGGGTGCCACTGGAGAGTTGACCACTCATATCAATTGCTTGTTATTCTAGTTAAGCAGTTCTAGGAGTGAGTTATGGAGAAGATAAACCACCAACTCCTCATTTCACAAAATCAACTCAGTATTCAGGGAGTACTCTAAGAAAAGAAGTAAAATGTCCACAGAGGTGAATACCAACTCTTCACATCATTTCCCAATTCCTTCTCAATAGAGACTCTAGGACTAGAGCTCCCTTTATCACCACCATCCTAGCATAGCTAATTGTTTCAGAAAGTTACCTTTTAAAACAAGATTTTCTACTAGAATATAAGACCTCTCTGCTGGTCCTTAAATTTAAATAAATTCCATTTTCACATGATAACCTGCCTGATAGCTTTCCAAAACATTCGTTGCCACTGCAGTTTCAAGTTATTTTGTAGTGAATTGTGAACTACATCTTGATTAAATTGCAGTAAAGATGGGAAACAAAATATCATGTTTAGAATGATTTCCTATCTAAAATTTTCCATTATGAGTTTAGGAAAAACAAAACCTGTACACTCAACATTTTAAATCTGCTTCTAACTAAACAAGATGATAGGTGATGCAATGAGGTTTAACTCTATCATGCAATTGCCACAAAATACTAACACTGCAAAAGTAAACCATTCAATACTTTACTGAACACTCTTTTTGAAGAAGTTGAATATTGTAAGAATTATTTAGCTTCTGGAGTTTAACACAACTGATAAAAAGGGGTTTCTAAGAGGAATAGGGTCTCTCATCTGAAAACAAGTTTTTAAAAACAAAACCATGTTATAAAATACTTAACATTTACACACGTCCAAAAACATTTCTCATTGTAAAGTATTATTTCTAATACCAAAGGCAAAAAAATTAAAACAGATCAAATATTTGCAATTAAATGTCCAAATTTTTCAATTGGGAAAATGATGTCAACGTTTTTCATCCGTTTTCTTGTAAGGTTCCAGTACAAAAATAAACAGCCATCGGGCTCATCAATTCAGGTGCGGAAACTCATTAAAATCGAGCTTTTGGAGCGAAGAAAACACATTCCCAGAATTTGTCTTCTCGGGTAAAACTGCCCGGTGGCCCACACCAGGAACCTCAGGCAACTGCCCGGGCCTTGCCCACCCCGACCGCGGGCCGCACCTGCCAAGGCCGCACCGCCAGCGCCCCCTGCCGCCCTCTCTGCACACAGAGACCCGCGCCCACCCCCGCACCCGCCCCCACCCCGCGCTCGCCCAGCGCAGAGGCCGCGCAGCCTGCGGGCAGGGGCGGGGGCACGAGGGTGCGAATCCAGGCGTGGCCGAGAGGTGGGCGCGTCCCCCAGAACCTCCGCCACCGCCAGACCGGAGCCTCACCTACCTACGCCGTATTTCTCCTCCTCCGTGGGGGTCCACATGGCCGGGCCGGGCCGGGTACGGCCCCGCGGACGCGGCGACCGGGCGACAACGCGGCGGGGACGGCCGCGGGCCAGGCTGTGGCGCACCGCGAGCCGAGGCGGGGGCGGTCAGGCGGCGCGGGGCAGTGGGCGGCGCATCCCTCACAGGCCGTACGGGATGCTGCCGCCACCCCCGCCACGTCTGGACCGCGAGGATCCGTGGGTGGCCCAGCAGCCCCAGGCGGCGCGGGCGAGGGCTCGCCACCTGTCCGTCGCCGCTGCTCCCGCGCCGCCGCTCGCTTCCTCACAGCTCCGCCGCCTGGCTCCCGGCGCCGCCGCGGCTCGGCTCGCCCCAGCGGGCTCGCGGGACGGCGGCGCATGCGCCACTCCCTGCCGCGCAGGGGCTCGCGCCACCCGGGCTCGCGCCGTCCCGAGCCCGCGCGCGAATCCACGAGCCGCTGCTGCGCGCAGCGGGGGGAAATCTGCCAGAGGCGATTGGACTGGCTGTCCCCGGGCAGGCTTCTCCCCCGATCTGGTGCCCTCAGCTGCAGCAAACTAAGGAGGGGACGAGGCCGGTCAGGTGGGCGACTCCCTCTATCGGGAATCCTCACTCGCTTCCGCTTCCAGTGCCTCCTTCCTGCGCCCGGAGATGGCCACGAGCCTTCTGGTCAGAGAGGGGAGATCTGGAGAAGGAGGAGACGACACCATTTTCAGACCCATCCCAGTGTCACCCACAGTGCTGTCGGAATGGTCCCTGGAGCCACCCTGTGCATTCCCAGGGCCCGCAGGGTGGACTCGCCACGAGGGAACCAGGTGGGGTACACTCGTGCCGCTCTCTCCCGGATGCCGTTTGGTCTGAGGCCGCTGACACCTCCTGGGTTCTTGCTTCTCTGAGTTGGCCTGAGTGGCGAATGTTTGGGACCAGAACAATCACAGCCACCTTGCTAGTAAGGAGAACTTCACTGGGCCCTGGGGATTCCTACCCGGGACTCGGCCCCTGCTGCTCCTGGGTGTCTACCTCCCTTGGAGCCCTGAGTACTGACCCCTACCGGAAACTTTCACCTTCTCTCTCCTCCCAAAGAATCCATTCATGAATCCATTCATTCTGATGCCTGTAAATGTCACCCTGTGGCCCCCAAGTCAACCACTTACCAAAGGCCAGGAACTGCAGAACTTCTTTCCACCTATGTTTGGACCACAATGTGTTCCCAACTCTAATCCCCGCAGATTCACTCATCTCTGTCACTAGCACTTCTAAGTCAAAACCCTGGTGTCATCCTTCACTAGCACTCTCAGACACCCCAACTCTTCAAAACCCAGCTCAGCCCCTCACCTCCAGGAAGCCTGCCCTGACCCATAGGCTCCTTTCCTTCTTTGTATGGAATTGGAGCTATGTTCAGTTTGTCTTATTTCCCTTGTAAGCCTCCCAGAAGGCAAGCTCCAGACTAATACAAGAATACCTTGTAATCAATAGAGCTTGTTGATTCTTCTTTCAAAGTGTCATGATTGGTAACTCCTCTCAGGCCTGATTATGCTCCCCTAGGTTATGGCCACCACTTCCCACCTTCCAGTCTTTAGGCTCCTCCCCTCACTAATCATAGCTGCCCACTCCTGCCCAGAAAATGTCCATTCTGTGAATGATAGAATTTCTCTATAGCTAGATACACTTCTTTTCCTGGGCGGCGGAGGTGTCCAAGAACATAACAAAAGAGGTAAGTGTTCCGGAAAGATAGACCCCTGCCCAGTGGCCACCATGAAAGTATTCTGTGGAATTAAGTCGCATTCTTACAAAACTCTCTCCAGGGAGCTATTCAACAAGTGGGGCTGCTCTACGCAGGCCTTCAAGGAAGAACCTTAAAGCTCATTTCATCCTCTAATTTCACTCCCTTGTCTGCTGTATGTGATGACAGTCACAGAGCCTAAAGGCCAGTTTTTCCTAAGTTTATACTCATGCTCCCAGTCTGAATCCATCTTAGATGATGGCTTTCCCAGATGAAGAAAATTCTCCATGATTGCACACTATATCCAGGGTGGAAGGGGCATTAAACCCAACCAGGAAAGGGAGAAGAAGGGACCAAAGTGAGAAGGAAGGGGTTTACTAAGCCTGGACTTTTACACTCTTGCTGTTTGTACTAAATTTAGATTGTTTTTGTGAGTTGAAGCAAAAGGGCATAGCACACACTGACCTTCAGCAGGACCATGCACCTGCTCTCTTATCCCCCTACCATCTGCTGTGGTCCTTTCCTTCCTCAGGCTCCCAGTCCACTCAACACACCGCACGCGCACCCTTCCAGCATATGAGCTGCCTTCCAGCTTGCTTCTGAAAATCAAGACCCTCAGCACAGTAACCTCCCCTCCTCTCCAACCACTCTTCTTTGTGTTCTCGCCACTACCATGTTCACTGCCTGCTATTTCTCAGGATCCCCAGCTATCATTGTCCCCATCTCCCATTTTCATCCTGACCTTGCTCCACAGGCTCCTGCAGTCCCAGGAAGACCTGTTCTTTTGGTACCCTCATTCCCCCATTCCCTCTCTCTTCCTCCTCTCTCCATCTGACCACAAAGGAGAATCATCCACTCCAAATCCTTTTATTTCAATGTAATTTATTTGATTCTCAGCACCCAAAGGTCTGTGTTCTGACCCTGTCACTCCTGGAAACTACTTTCTCAGAATTCCCCAGGGCCATCCCAACGTCAGACCATTGCCTGATTCTGGCTGGGCCTTTGCATACAGTGTCCCTCAGGCCGTGTCCTCTCGTCTCTTGAAACCCACAGATCTGCATCACACTCCAAGAGCTGTCTCAGGGCGACTTTCCTGAGGAAGTCTTCCCCAACTGTCCTCAGTTCTGCTGGATTTTTCGCACCCATTATGTCCTTTCCTGTAGCACTTACTCATCCCACCCTTCTCCAAGAGATCAAATGGGTCTGCCTCTCACATTGGCAAACATCTGTTTCTTTCTTCAGTGACAAGGATTGTGCTTCAATTATTTTACCCTACTCAGAGACTAACACAGTACCTACCACCTAACATGAATTTAACATACGCCAAGAGTGAATGATCTCCTTGCATGTTTTCTGAGACCATAATGAAATAGGTTGGTAGAAAAAGTGAGATATTTACCTCAGCAAGTCACAGATCTCCAAGCTCAGAAAATCTAATTAATTAGAGTTAATTTATTTGTTATAGACATACTAGTTTTAATTAAAAATTCATTGCAATGTCTTCTTGAGTAGCTATATAAAAGATAAACATGATAGAGCAATTTATCTAAGAAACAAAGAAGTCTCCAAACAGTTTGACTTATCATATCACTGTTACTTTTGGGTTTAACTCATTACCTTACATGATAAATTGCAACTCAATGAGCAAGGAAGGAATCAAGTTTTCTGCAGGAAATTCATTAAGACTGGTGGCTATTAAAAATAGCCTATACCAAACAAATTTTGTAAATAATTTACAAGAAATGCAGACAGCATCATCTTTTTCTCCTAAATAGAGTTTAAGTTGATCAATAATTTTTTATCATGAGCAAACTCCATAATGGTAAATCCCCCAACACCTTTGGTGAATGATACTGGCTCTCTACAAAGCTCGATGAGATACACTTCATATCTTCTCTCCTTGTTTTCTGCTGCCTAGAGAATCAGACAGCAGCATTTAAGGAGCCAGCCAGTCTGATGACTCAGCTCGTAAAACAATGTGTGGCCACAAAGATGATGTTTATCCATGAGCATTCTGGAGGCTCTTGCTACTGAAGTCGGCAAGCAGTGGGTAAGTGGCACATGATGCTCATTCTCAAGAGTTCCTGGCAATGGTGCCAATGCAGCACTCACTTCCCTCTCTCAGCAGTTGATCTCATCTGATGCTCTGTACAAGCAGAATGGTAGAAAAAAACTTCAGAGAAATACAGTGGGTATAGAGACAATTCTAAACAAAATGCAGGAGATAGTGGTAACATTCTGCCTTCTCTTGATCAGGAGGTGCCAGCAGCTACAGCTTATGCCCATATGAAGCCCAGGGTCAGGTAAATGGAAAGCTCAAGAACATGTTACCCAACTCATCTCTGCCCTTCTGGGTTCCTCAAGTAGTGGGTCTGCTGTTGTTAGTAAAACAGCTGCAGAGCTAGTTTTCTTCGTGGCAGAGAGAAACACCCAAGCTAGTCTCACTTCACCACCACCTTATTTACCCCAAAGCAACACCTTTTAGGAAGCCTTCTTTCAGAAGGCAGCACTGGAATAAGGGGCCAATTCAAAGCAGATTAACACAAAGTCTGGGCACAGTGGCTTACGCCTGTAATCCCAGCATTTTGGGAGGCTGAGGCGGTGGATCACTTAGGACCAGGAGTTAAAGACCAGCCTAGCCAACATGGTGAAACGCCAACTAAAAATACAAAAATTAGCCAGTCATGGTGGTATGTGCCTGTAGTCCCAGCTACTTAGGAGACTGAGACAAGAGAATCACTTGAACCCAGGAAGCAGAGGTTGCAGTTAGCTGAGATTGCTCCACTGCACTCCAGCCTGGGTGACAAAGTGAGAACGTGTTTGGAAAAAAAAAAAAAAAAAGACAAAGTAAGTTAACACAGGGATGACTGACAAAGTTAGAATGCTTTCAGGTGAAGAGATCTAGTGTCTAAGAAGATATCAGCATTTTGCTTTAAGTTTGGTTACATCTGAGTATCCTTTCAGTAGGGAGGGGATAGGGAAGAGTGTGACAGGAAGACAGATTAAGCAGTGCAATATTTCATTATTTTCCCTAAAATAACAAACTTTAACCATCTGTTCCTATTTTATCAATCCATTCAAAATATTATTAAAATGTGGATTTCTTTCAGTTAGCCAAGATCTTCAAATGAGAAATGGCAAAGCTCCCCTGATTGTAATTCCTGGAGACTGATGTGGCACTTCTGGATGGATTCTAATAAACGAGTCCCACCATGAGAAACACCCCCATATGTGTCCAGATGTGTCAGAGAATTTTCAGCACTTGCTTTCTGCCCGCTCAAAACTGTGATCTACCTGGATATAGCACCATGCTATATTCTTTTTATTTTTAATCCCTAGCATGCAGGATCTGACACATAATAGTTGCTCAGTAAATATTGTTTGAATGAATACATTAGTAAATGAGTGCTTTTAATGTTTTCCAGAAATTTCTATTTTTGTTCCAATAAGGTTTTTGTTTGCTTGTTTATTTTCTGTCTAGAAATTGTAATCCCAGCACTTTGGGAGGCCGAGGTGGGTGGATCATGAGGTCAAGAGATCGAGACCATCCTGGTCAACATGGTGAAACCCCGTCTCTACTAAAAATACAAAAATTAGCTGGGCATGGTGGCGCACACTTGTAGTCCCAGCTACTCGGGAGGC